GTTTGTGTGGTTGGGGTGCGGTGGGGGGGGGGGGAACTCATTGAATCCAATGCAAACAGCCAAATTCTGTTATTATCTTAATATTTTCAGCACAGCAAATTTCTGCACAGTTTTGTTTTGTGCCTGGATTGATTGCCGGACATTTAACTGGGCTTTTAAGAAAGTGACCTTCTATTGACAGCTTGGAAGGTGTAGGAAACATGAAATGAGTTGGGCTATAAATTCAAAAATGTTTTTTGGCAGGTTAACTGTTACCTGTAAAGTGGTATTTTGTTGTAAGAAGTCTTTCTCCTTTTATAAATGAACTATACATTTGCATTTGGTAGGTTTTTTATGGGTTATAGTGATGAGAAAGAAATTTGTCGCAACCAACGTTTTTTAAGGTGAACTGTTTGAGATTAGGTCCCTGGGGAGAGTTTAGCTCCTCATTTTAAGGACCTCAGTGTATATATATTTATCAGAAGTGTTATTTCTGAATTCATTGAAAGATCAGGATATTTATTTTCTTTATCAGGAAGTGTCATTCTTACAACTGTAGCTAATAGTTTAACATCTTGAGGATGTGTAAAGCTTCCTTTTGGCTCTTGAGCGAGCACTGAAAATGCAAGGAACCAATAGGGAATGTGTGCTGCCATCTTCAGTGGGGCAAAACAGAACCCAGATTTCTCACTTCACACCACTGAGTGCATGGGTGTGCACACTCCTGAGACCTCAGCCACTCTGCCCTTCTAACCCTTTATGTTCCTAGGCCACTGGCTTTAATGTTATAATTTTTATTTTGAGAAAATAACAGCTCAGGGAAGGGGTGTGTGCCTGAGGTTAAGCAGTAATTATGTAGCAGTGATTGGAAAGTCTGAGTTGAGCCCAGTAGAGAAGCTAACAATTATTTCATTTTGTTTTAAGGTCAGTAGAGGAGTCAATGTCAAGATACACTTAGTATATATGGAGAAAATATGTGTTAAACTATGATGGCACTGATTCTTTGTGGTATAATCTGACCTCTTTCATTCTCATCAGTTCATGACCAGTCCTAGTCAAAAAAGCTGAGTGATGAGGAAAAGACCTTGCATAAATATGTGCTTAGTAAGGCATTCAAGGTCAGCCCTTCAGTTTTCTGGCCTCTTAAAGCTTTTGATTAGACTTTTAAATATCTCATGGCTCCTGTAGAATAAGAGATGTTGTACTCAGCTTTCCACATATCCTTAATACTACATAAATGGTCCAAGTTACTAAAGTAGTACAACCAAAGCCCTTAAGGCTGAGATTTTGGATGATTTTTCAAGTTAACAATGGTTTGTGGTGTGCTTTCGGTGTGAAAGGAACTAGAGACAGAATAGTAGAGATTGAACAAGTTAGTGTTGAGATGGGCTGGCATAGTTTTAACTAAAACCAGAGCTTTTCAGTAATGAGAGAGCACTCATTGGCAGTATGCTTATAAGGGCAGCACAAATAAGCTTATTAGGTTGTAAGCAGGGAGAAGTGGGCAGTAGGACTGAGAAACGTGATTTCTGGTTGAATTATGGGTTAATGCTGCAAATCAGACATGCTTGAGTGGGCAGAGCTGGAGGAATTTGACACGTGCTGATAAGCTACATGCAGCTCTGATATGCCTTGGGCAATATTTGACTTTGTGAAAACAGCTTTTACCTTTTTAAAAGGAACAGTCTGATAAATATCTGTTGATTTTATTTCAAAGAGTTTGCTTTAGGTGCCATCAGTATCACTAAATTTTGGTAAAGTATTGTCAAAATGTGTCCATGTGGATATGCTGTATTTCTAATGAAGTCATGCTACACTAAGAAGCAAAGATTTCATTCAAACTGCTTGTGCATAAAAATATCTTAATTCAAAAAACCAAGAAGCAAGTGGATTAAAAAGTTAAGGACTGTATTAATGCAAAAATTAATATACCTTCTGCTTTCCTTCTCTTGGGCTTCAGTCATAATGTAAAGGAAAGCATACAAAATATTCCTGTAGCATTTCAGTCTAAATTAATTCTCTTATAGCAAGTGTTTTGTCAGTAGCACTAATTTTTTATTCATGTTACTCATGAGTACCTAAACAGTCTGCAGATAAATCATCTCCACATTAGCAAATTCTACCAGCTTGTTTTCTTTTTAACATCTGTTGATTTGTGTTGTCTCAACTCACTTGCTCATCACTTGCTCAGCAGTAGGTCTTTGGCTAAGAATATTGAGCTTGATTCTATGTTCCCCTTATAAGAAAATATAATTTATGACTTAATATTCAATATTCACTGCAGTACAAACCTGAATTGTGCTTCCTTGTGTTGTTTTACACTAATTGAACACTCCCATGGTACAAGTATAAAAGACTACATGATCTGCAAGCAAATGCATTTTAAAGATGCAGAATTTGGCTCCTCAAACTCTTTTGGCAGCCATCCCTTTATAAGCTCTATGAAAATGGCAACCTTTTTTTAGCTTACCTGATAAGTAAAAACGTGTCATTAAGGATTGTCCAGAACAGCTTTTATTTCAGAGCACAAACTGCAAGATAAAAGGATTTCAGTGTTCACCAGTAACTTCATATGACTGGAGATTTAAAAGAAAAAGTTTTAGAAAAGTCAGATTCTAATGCTGAGGACAATAAAATGTCTCAGTATTTTTATATATCCACAAGGAGCTTTTATATGAAATTAAGTGGGATTTAGCCTAATGAACTCATGACCTCAATTTTTTCTTAGATTCTTCTTCCTCTGCCCTCAGCATTCTGTCAAGGTTATATGGCAGGACCTCAATAGTCTGCCATACCAGTCTTTTCAGCCTTTTTCTCAGTAGCTGAGCCCTTTATCTCATTTTCTTGTCAGGAAGCAAGACCATTCCTTTAGTTCTGTATCACTTTAGGCTTTTAGTAATAGTCATGGAGATACCTCTTGTCCGTGTCCCTGCTTTCAACTGCTGTTGTGCTGAGTTAGTTTCCTTAAGCATAACTTAAAAGGCTGCTTCTGTGCTCCATTTCTGTCCTGGGGTCTTCTCTGAATTATCACAGGAACTGCTCTTCATGTCACTTCTCATGATTCCTGTGTTACTTCCTTTGACTCACTGTTACTGGCTATCATTCATTTTGTTCTGCCCACTTCCTGTCTTGCCTCAGAAAAGTTCAGCTTTACTGTCATGTTTTTTGACTGAGTTCTTCCAGTTGCATTACTGTATCTTCTTTCATTTGGAACCTCTTTCCTAAAGATGTACAAAGGGTTCTGGTGTCTCTTCTTTGTCCAGGACAAATTGGACCACACCTTCACACAAAGGTGAATTTTGCTTAGTGGCTGCAAAGTGGTTGCTCTGAAATATGTCTTCAATCATATTATTGCTGTCTGGATTAAAAGAAAGATGACACAGGTGACATACAGTACTTTTGAAAAGAAAAATTAAAATGTTTATGTAAGAGACTATAGATAATGGTGAATCTGAAACAGCTTAAAATCTGTCCCCTCTTGTTCACTGACACTTGAGAATAACATGTTGACATATACAAACAATTTTGACATTGTTCAATCTGTTGTCAATCTGTCTATTGCCCAGCTGGTAGGAGTCAAAACTACTCTCAGCCAGATGGACAACCCCATTAATTTTTTTTTTTCAGTAGGGACAAATCTGTTAGATAATTTTTTTTTGGCAAGGGACTCATGTCTTGAGCAATAAAGTCTATTAATTCTCTGTTTCCCAGCTTGCAACTCTGCTGCCACCTTACTTCTTGTTCCTGTCTCTAGGATGTGCCACAGAATGGTTGGGTATGTAGTTAGGTATATAGCTTTGCCATCTTGGGCCTCATTTTCCTCTTCCTCCCTGACCCACCACCACTTCTCTCCTTTTGGCCATATTATCTTTCTCTTGTCTTACCCTTCTAAAAATCACAGAGTCCTTATTGACACCCTGCCCTTGTGCCACCTCTGCTCCAGCAGCTGGCTCCTGCTGTTGCCAATGAGCAGCGCTGCTGGTTGGAGGGTACAGGGGAAGTGTAGTGTATTCCACCAGCCACATTTGGGGAGAGCAATGTGAGCCCATCAGAGCTAAGCCAGGTTGTGTGGGGCAGCACAAAACTCTTGTTGCTGATGATTCAGTATTCTGATAGTACTGGTCCCTGAAATTGTTAGTGATGTTGGCAGCAGCAAGAAAATGTTTCAATACCTTATCAGTGTCTTACAGCAATGTTTTATGGCTTCCCTTTCCAGATGTTGATTACATTCCCCCCTTTTTTTAGGTGATTTTTTTCTTATGTTTAATCCTACGTAGGATCATCATGACTTGTTTGTTTTCAGGTGTTGACCATGAAGCCATCAGTACCAGCTGTGGCCGTGTGGGGGAGAACAGCTCCCTCTCACAGCATCACTGCTGTGATGATCACAGATGACCAGCAGACCATAGTTACAGGGAGCCAAGAAGGACAAATATGTCTCTGGGATCTTTCATCAGACTTACAGGTTTGTGTCCACTGTGCTACTTTTGCCAAATAGACTGGAGTTTTATCTTTTAGTATTGACAATAGGATTATCCAGACTTAGAGTTATTTAGAGGAATTTTTAAAGGTAGTGTGATATTTGTTATAGGAAACTCATGAAGCAGGAAGTGAAATGCCTATATAAGCAACCTGTTATTTGCAGAATTTGGAGAATTTTTCATAGATTAGCATGCCCAGTAGATTTGAGGCTGTGCTCTGAGCAATGGCAGCAAGTAACTATATACAATTAGCAGGATTCGTATCTTGTGAAGGGTTTTTTCTATTGTAAATCAATTGCTGAGCAGGACCTGTAGTTTAAAGGAAAAGTATTTATAAAACCAAATCTGTCTGCCAAGATGGGAGCAGCAAGATGAAACTTATTTTTGATGCAAATTGCTTTATTTCATATTTATTTTCCTCAGAATGGAGCACAGTCAAAACAGTTCCTGGTTTTTTATTCTGTGTTTCTAGAACTATGTTTCTATTCTTTCTTTTTATATTTAGGTGCCCCATTTATTCTCAAACACAGTCTGAAAGTTTGCACTTTTATGAGTCTACCTTTTCCAATTAAGACCTTTGCATGCAGTCATAATCAGGTTATTTAAACATGTGGTATGAAACACATGCTTAAGAGCTTTGGTTTATCAGTTTCTACTTTACTGTGCCACTTTTTGTGCTTTCTGTAGAGTGAAGGCTAGAGATGTCCTGCACATTGCCTGTTTTATCACATTTGATGTTCTGTACATTCTTCAGAAGATGAATGCAGTGAATACTAAAACTTAGCTTTATGCAAGCTGCATAAAAGTTCTTCCATGTCTTTCTGCATTCCAGAAATATGATGGGAGCATATAAGAATATGAAGCAGGTTGACAATTATATAGGTCTACAAGTAATATTTTCTTGGTTTTAGATATCCTTAGTTTATACAGAAATTGTTTGAGATAAATCATTGTATTATTCTCCTAGATTTCATCTAAAGAAATTCTGTTTGGCCATACTGCTTCTGTAACTTGTTTGGCAAAAGCAAGAGAGTTTGAGAAACAGCCATACGTAGTAAGTGCTACTGAAAATGGGTAGGTAACTGAATATTTAATAATTAATTTTTTAAATCATTAAATGTGTGTCAAGTGTAGGTCAGATTATGCATTTGCAGAAATCTTTCAGTCTGCTTCCATGATATTAAAATGATAGTAGCTACTTAGGATAGTGACTACGTTGTTAATATTCAACGGTCCAACTAAGAGCTTGTCCCATGGACAACAGAAAGGTTTGGCAGATTCACATATCCATTTAGTAGACAGAAAAAAGGAATTATTAAAGGGGTTGACTAGACCCTATTCAAGAAGAAATTAATGGTTTATTGGGGGACATCAGCAATTTAACAGCAGTTGAATATCATGGTGTTTGTTTCTTCCTGAGCTCAGACTTGAGAACTGAACCAGTAAAAGAAGCTAATATCCGCTTATATGGTTTATGGTTCCTCAGTCAGTTTGTATAGAAACAGAATAGGCATGAATTAAAGGCATATGTGCTCCTTTTCTGTATTTAAATCTGATGTGCTGTTTTGGAGAATATCCTTTCAGAGGACCCTGATCTTGCAGCTTTTCTGCTATGTGTGTGTTATGACATAGCCTGTCACTTGAGTCAAACTACTTCATGCATTTCTGCTAGGTTACACTTAAGAACCTTTGATAACATTTTCAGCTGGGGTTTGAAGACCTATTTGGATTTCATCTGTTGAAAACACTTAGGGCTAGCTGCTTACTTCCTTAAGGGCTTTCTTAAGCAATTTTGTCTCACTGCTTAATTATATTCCCTGGTTTTTTTGGGTTCGTAGTTTCTAATTAACAGGACAGCGCTGTTAAAATGGCTTTCCATGAAGACTAGCTGTCAATTATCCTTCAAGCTGTACCTTCCAGCACCTTAAGGCTACTGGTTTCTCCCTGTGTAGTTTATTTATTCTTTCTGGCTGCTAAGATCCCTGGCTGTTTCTCTCGTTCAATCATGAGTATACTACAAAGGGATAACCTGCAGAAAATACTATTTCAGGCTTCTTAATCTTGAAAGATTAAACAACCTCACTGGACAGGCAGTGGTAAATGTTACTGTTTATGTGCAGAGAGGGTGAGAAACCTACAACCAGTTTTGTATTGCCCTTCTATAGTTCTATTCAAGGGTTCTGAGAAGAAGCTGCTTTTCTTCCCAGTTCTGAAGTTCTGTTAGTGCAATACTGCTTCCAGATCATACTGGGAGCAAAGACACAGTACTTAAAAAAAAAAAAAAAACTGGGATGGAAAGTGTTAAGAAACAAATCAGGATATTGCTGTAGATATAACATACAGGCATGCTCACATCCTAAAGATTGTAGCTCTGAAGGGATCATTACACTTGTTTGGAATGTGTATAGGTAGGATTGAATTGTCTTCTGGCCCCTTTAAATGTTCACTTTTATCAAATTACTGCTGACTTCCCATCTGTATGACATAAGTGCAAAGCATCCATCACTGATCTCTGTAAGGTTGCAACATGAAGGTGAGGTAATTACAAATAGGAATCCTTGTTTTCAGGAGGTGGAGGGTTTGCCAAAATGCATTTTCTGGCTTGTGGATAATTCACTTTTGCCATTTTCAAGCTTCCATCTTCTTGTAGTGAGGATGGAAGTCTTACGTAAGATGATTCTATGATAAGCTTCCCTGTTCCACTCCAGATTAGTTTCAGAGTTTCTATAACTGGCTAATCCCAGAAGAACATGCATTGAACATTATTTTTTGTACGTCTAATATGAAAGTTTATAAAGGACTCTCTAATGATTCATGAGTTCTCACTGATGTCCTGAGTGACAAACCTGTCCTACAGCACATGCTGTATGGAATGTGTGATATGGCTCACTCCTTATTAGTACACACAGTAAATTGAACACATCATCCAAAAGCTGAAGTTACATTCTGAGATTCTGGTCTCATTTGTGCATGCTTCTAGGTATGTATCTGTCACAGTAATGTAGCTAAAGGAGTAAAGTTCTGATATAAACAAGGAGAAAATCATTGCTCTGGATGGTTTCACAAACAGTATAAAGCTTTCACTTTATTTCTGACGTTGGATCTACCAACTTTGATGCTGCTATTTCTCAGCTAAAAAATATTAAGAAATAATGCTTTGATTTTAGCATCAAATGTGAAAGTAGGTAGGTTAAAATGCAAATCACTAAGTAGTATTTCTTATATGATAAAATGCTGTCCCCAATGTATTCTTTAAGTCTTGATACAGAAAATTTCTTACAATGTAATGTGAGAAATAATGAAATTAATGTTTTGGTTCTGGAAGTAATGTTTGTTTTTTAAATAAAATCTAAAAGCATGAAATTTTAACATTCATTTGCTGAGCTATAATAGCTCATACAGCCTCATTTACAACATTTAATTTGATTGTCTCTTGTAATCCAGTCCCACTGCGTGTTAAATAATGTGTAGATAAGGAATGTGTGCCGAAGTCTCTCTCAAACAACCTTAAATGTGTCCAAGTGTAGCTGTAGTGTTGCACAGGTACTCAGGTGGTTGTGTATTGAAAGTGGATTTTGAGAACAGCCTCATGATGGCACTGTTTCTTCTTAACAAACCTTGTTCCTCTCAAGAATTGAAGTCTGATGTGGGAGAAGATGTATGATGCTTTTCGAAACGTGTGGTTTAAGTTCAGTGAAATGAATCATTTTCAGGAGGATGTAGTTCCAGTGACAGATAGTTACAGTGACATGTTGACGAGCTGTAATGGCAGTATACCTACAATTTGTTGAAGACCAGAGTTGTCTTAAAGTCAGGTTGGTTGCAAGGCAGCAGGGTGTAATTACCAAAACAAAAAGAAACAGACACTGTATGTCATCCCCTGCTAATGACTACATTTTCTTACCCAGCAATCTGTAACAAAAAGCTTTATAAATGACCAGACTACACTTAAATACAGCACTAAAGAAAAACTTGGTGGCACAAAATTATTCCAGCCAATTGAGTGGAAATGACAGAGAATAATATGAAGTTATCTTTGGCAGGGAGATGTGTGTTTGGAATGTCACTAGTGGACAGTGCATTGAGAACGCAAAGCTTCCTTATAGGCATACAGCAATCCATGTAAGTATAGCAGCTTTTCATGGGGTCTCTGTTCATTGCAAGAGTTTTCCTTTATTAACTTGATATTTTTCAGAAACAGTTTTAAATGTATAGCTTGCAACGTAGGAAAAAGACCCTGTCACAAAATAAGGGTTTTTCAGGTTTTTTTTCTTCTCAGAAAAGAATTGAGACTTTTACGTTCCTCTGCATTCCTTAATCAAATCAGACTGATTACTTTTAAGCTGCAAATATTTGAAGTGCAATATTGATTAACTTACTGTTTGTGCATCAGGTAGCCAAGTGAAATGGTCTTAATCTTTGCTCTTGTCTTGTTAAAATTGCATGGACGCTTCAAGTTTGATATTGGCTTTTTCATGACATTTTAAAAGTACGAGTAATCTGGCCAAACACTGTGAGACCATCTGCTGAAAGACTTATTTTTAAGCTTTTTAATGGTTTTGGTGCTGAACTCCTGACCTCAAAAGAGTTCACCCCATTTTCAAAAATACATGTTCCTTTATTGCAGAACTTTGGGACAAATCCCTTATTTTCAGAGAATTTCAATATCGCTTCAGATAATTTAGTGTGTCTGGTTGTTTACTGTATCCAGGTAAAATAAGTATCTAGATTTTGGAGTGTTGGGAGTGTTTGAAATGTACGTGAGTGAGATTTGAGGGGCCCAGTGTCTATGGGTTTGATTCTGGGACATGGCTTATTTCTGGATATGTTAGTAGAGGAGAAGCTCAGGGTTCCTGTGTTAGTTAAAATGCTGGTCTTCTTCAGTGAGGAAGTCTAAGCTGGAATTAAGGCTCCAAATGATGGATATCCAAGCCTTCATGTAACTCCAAAGCACAGCCAATTTGGAATCCAAAATTTTTAACACTTCCAGAAGAAAATGTTTTTCCTGACACATCTTTGGTTGATATGAGGAGTTAAAATACAGTTGTTAATTGTAAAGGGAAGAGGAAAAAGCTTGGATATATTGCCAACAAAAATTATGGAAGATTAATTTGTTAATTTTTTTTCTACATCTATGTATGTGTATAAAAACTGTATAAATTAAGAATTATTCTACACTTTTATTTGTGCATGTGCTTAAAGTGTTCATATTCCTTAAATGGATTTATGTACACAAACAAAACAATACTTATATTGCTCCTAAAATTATAATTTGACCTGCTATGTTCTAGTGCTTAATTAGATTTTAATAGATGAAGTTACAGACAAGTTCTGCAGGGAAGTAGGCAAATCTGGCCTAGCTGATTAGCTGACAATCTGTACATTTTTTGTGGAGATCAGAGAGAATATTCACTCTTACCCTCCAAGCAGGTGTAGCAAATACTTGTAGAAAATAGGTAGTTCCTCTCTATTAGAAATGAGCTAAACTGAATTGTGGCTAATAATTATGTTTGTTTAATAACTTGGGCAAGATAGTTGAAGGAAAATAGGAACATCTAACAGGAAAGCTTTCCTAGGACAAGTAGGTGTTTCTGGGAGGGGAAACTATTCTTAAAATGCAGCCTTCAGATAACCATAATAAATTGTTTTTCTGTGTGTTTTGTTGTAGATTTTTTCCTTGTTCCACGGGGAATGGTTGCTTGTGCTGTAGTTAATGTTTGGTTTTAATTGAACTACTAACCTATCTGCTCTAGTAGGTTCCTTTTGTTCAGTGTAGATCATTTAGCTATGAATGGCAGATGTCAAGTAGTACAAACTGAATATTTGAAATGAAATTCAACTCCAGGGTCAACACTTAAACATTTGTGGCTCTTAACCAGTGTGGAATTTTCTCAGAGGAATTACTGACTATAAATATCCTCTATTTCAAGCCTAATTTAATGGTAACAGTAATTGTAAAGTCTAAGCATTTCTGCCTATGTTTATTCATAATATCTGTAGTACTATTTATCTTATTTCCAATTATTTTTACTACACAGTTCAGTTAGTTTACTGAAAAACAATTATTATACAACCAAAACTGTACAGAAAAATTTATAGATGAGGTGCCGTTTTTTGGGTTGTCTGATATTTTTGTCTGATTATTGTTCCCTTTAAGGTTAGTGATAAATGTAAATCTGCTTTGAGGTGGCTGCTTATGCATTTATAGAAATTGGCTACAATTACAGCTAGACATGTAATGCAGTTGTCCTTGCACATATAAAACACCTAGCAAAAAAAAAAATCCTCACAGTCACTCTGTTCCTTTGCCTTGTGTCTGTTGGTTTTTTCCCTGTTGTAATTGCTGAGAAAAAAATCTTCTGAACACTAGGGTGTTTAATGTTAGAATGAAGAATATCTTATGGAGCAGCAATCCTTCCTGGAAAGTAATCAGTAATTAATTATGAAAAATTTAATTACAAATATTCTGCATGTTCACCCGATTTTTCCTTTTCATACAACTCTTGATGACAGGAGCTTTATGAAAGGTTTGGAGGGGCCTCTCACAGAAACAAGTCCCAAACTCCTTAGCAATTTATAGGGAAAATTAACAAGTGACTTTGTTCCAAAAATTACAAAAATCCTAATATTTGGGAAGGACAGATGCTGCTTCCAGTCTGAAACACCTTTTACTAAGCTGTGTGTCCTGCTAGTGTCATTAGTAATATTGGGTATGGTTTTACATATGCCTTAGATTTTTTTAGTAATGCTACAAGTGTTGATTATGACATGTTCAGTGTGAAAATCTTCATGCCATTTGTGTATCTGTGCTGACTCTCTGCTTTCCACTTGGACAGTATTACCATTGCTCATTCCGAATGACAGGTGAAGGCTGGCTTCTTTGTTGTGGAGAATATCAAGATGTTCTTATTATTGATGCTAAAACTTTGGATGTTCTTCACACTTTATCATCATCTCAGTCTTCTGATTGGATAAATTGTATGTGTATTGTACACTCTGCAAGAATTCAAGGTACATATTTTACATGTATTTATGTAGGTAAATTAAATTGTGATAAAATATTTATGCATTGATGGTATGTTCCTACTTGATTTAATATCAAATCATTTCACAGCGTTGATATGTAGATGATGTTAATGTTTTATTGATAGCACAAGGGAGTTTTAAGGCTCCTGTTTTATTTAATATGTTTATAGAGAAAAAACTACCTATACTGGCTGTAAAGAGCTCAGTTCTTGGATTGAAATATAAATAAGTTTTGTAATATCAGATAAATTAAAGGCACAATACTACAGTTCTGTGCCTTCTGTTAATACATTATTCACTGCTTGCTTTCATGTTTTGTATTTCTGTATATCATTTACTTTTATTTTTTGGTGTAAAACTGATATTTCATCTAAGCAGTGTCCTGCAGAATCCTTGTTTTAGTGCTGAATAGATAGGGACTGTTTGAACTCAGCTTCAAGTTGACTATTTGACTGTTAACTTTTTGCAGAAGACTCTTTAGTTGCAGTGTCTGTAGCTGGAGTTCTCAAAGTATGGGACCTGTCCTCATCTCTGAATAGCATTCAGGTCAGTGTTAACATGAATGTTTTCAAGTAAAGGCTACATTGAAGCAGAATATGAATAAATGTACATCTTCTGGATGTATATTAAATAGAGTTTATTACTTATGTTATAAAATTCTGAAAACACCTCTGCGTAGCATTATTTAAAATTGGGCCATTGAACAGCTCTTGCCTTGACAACTGTATTACTTTTTGGCCAGGCTTCTTGTCTTTTCATATTCCAGGATGCTTAAGTTGCAATGCTTTCCTGCCATCCTGATAATGTCTTTGAACCCCTTCACTGTCCTTTAAACTCAAAGCTCTTCAATATTGGCCTTTGTACTCCCTCTTCACCCTTGTTACTCTCTTCAAAAAGGTCCTTTGGATTTTGTTTTCCTCAGTCTGCTTTTCACAATGCTGTCTTTACTTGGAAAAGACTCTTGCTGTGTCAAGTGTCCTATTTTTCTACCTTCAAACTCACTCGTTTCGGGTTAATATTCTCAGCAGCTGTCACCTTCCATGAACAAGTGTTAGAATTGGGATGCAATTTTTGTGTTTTATTTATACTCTAAAAGCTACATTCACAAAGGGACTTCAACAGTGAGACAGAAATGGCAAAATATCAACAGACTTCTCTGAATGTTGGTAACTCACCCCTGCCTGGCTGGACAAACCAGGGTGTGGGCAGCAATGCTTGTTCTTGGGAAGAATCAGTCTCCTGAGGAGAGTCTGTCAAGTTTGGTACCATCCTGGTGTTTTTGATTTATCTGTGGTGTTTTGGGGTGGGTGCATCTTTTCAACATTCCTAGAGCAAACCCTACTACTGTGTTTTAAAAATTCTGAGGGTTCTAACAACTGATTACAGATGTCGGAGGACCATATGGTGTGGTGCAGTCTTTTTACTGCCTGGGGGCACCTTTTGTGGAGGGACTGCTGCAGAGTTCATAACAATCCAGCTAAATTCTAAAGAGCAGTATTTTAATAAATATTGTTGGATCTACTTGGAATTAACTGAAGCTGCAAGATGTTGTAAGAAAATGGCTTTCAGTTTTATAGCCATGATTCAAGCACATATAGCCCTTCTCTGAGAGGTTTTGAGACTGTTGGTATCTTAAACAGATAACATCAATTTAAAGTGATTTAATTAATAATTAATAAATATAATTCCAATAGAATAATTTTTAGTGTGATGACTTTAATATGCCTGATACTACACAAAAAGTGTGAAAATACATACATTGTTTTTAACGGTACATTTAGCAATACAAAGCTAAGAAAACTAATTACTTTTACACTACCTTTAAAGGTGTTAAGAGCAAACAAGACACCAGCATCTCAAACTGTCCTGCTTGCAACAAGAATGAGTGGGAAAATAAAATATTCATCAGCTTTTCTGAATCTGATGCTCTGTTTTATAGGTGTTATAGGTATTTTTTCACTGAAGAATGCCTGGCAGATACTCTTTACAGTGGTATCTATTCATGGCCTGCCTTTGGTCCTTCTCCACCTTCATTATCATTTCTTTAAGTGAGATCACAGTCTGAGCCATACTGAACATTTATATTCTTCTGTTTACATGTTAGTTGTGTACCTGTTGCCTTTCTATTGTTAATTAAGAATTATACATTGCTTTGAATTTTGAAAGTCTATTAATAGAAAGTTATTTTCAGTGTGTTGTTTCTATCCTAAAAGCTCAGATATCTGAAACAAATTTTATAGCCTTTTTTCCACTCTGTGCTGTAAAGGAGAAACAAAGTGTGTGCGAGAAGGAATCAAAATCTCTGGACTGTGTAAACTGTCAAGCAGTAAGATTTTGTACTTACACGGAAAGGCTCCTTCTTGTTGTGTCCTCCATGTGCTGGCAGGTACATTATTGAGAATTACACTTCCTTTTTAATGTTGGTAATTTTGAAAAGCAAATATGATTTTTACATGCAGATACTTGTTTATCTCCTTAGTTTAAAGAAAGCATTCACAAATTCTCAGATATGATTATGCCTGCAACACTACTTGGCTTAACTGTGTGAAAGAGATGAAGCTTTTATTTTTTATGAATGTATTTCCTCTTTAAAACTTTAACTCCAAATTTGCTGGATAGAAGGGGGATTTAAGTATTAGACAGTTTTAGAGCACTGTGAGTGCATTATAGTCCTCTCCACAGTGCATTTGAAAGGGAGACAAAGAATAAAAATTCCTCTTTAAGTATGACAGAAGTACTCACAGTTGGCAAGTCCTCAGTAGTCAGGGACCTTTGTTTGTTGATAGCAGCAGCAAAACTAAAGACCCAGGCTATATTGTTTTTTTTGTAGCTATAATATTGTAACTAAAAATTTAAAAAAAAGTTTTAGAGAACACAATGTATTTAAACTGAAACTTATTGTAAAAAATTTATATTTTTATTTTCCAGTGCAAAAAAAAATTCTCTTACATTAATCACTCACTATTATTTAAATATTTATACCTGATTCCAAAATCTCTGTGGGGACAGGAATGCGTCAAAAAATTTTATATGTACCTGGGTCAACTTCAAATAATGTAGTTGTATCCTTGAGATGTCTCTTGGGCTACTTAAATTCCATACAAAAGCATTTATAGAGAAAGTTCATGTGTAGAATGGATTTTTCCACTTTTTGTGGAAAAATATCTGTAATATGCATGGATTTCTATTAATTTCTATAATGAGACTATAAGGTCCTAATGCTACTTTTTGGTTGGGTTTTTTTTTAACTGTCAGTTTCTTTAACTTTGGACTGTATGGTTTGACTCCGACTTTGCAGTAGTTTATCAAAACATGTTAGGCTTTAACAATATTTGTTCAACTACAAAGAGTTGAACTCATGTTCTACTTCTGATTCTCTGTCCAAACCTAGTTTAGGTTAAAATTAATTTGCCAATACTATTTGTTTTGTTGTTCTTCTGAACTTAGGTCTATGATTATTGTGATTTCTCCTTGCTTTGTACTGAGTTCTGTAAGAGTGGTCAGTGCTTTGCTGGTGGGGAAGTGCTGGCAGCTTACAGACTTATCATCTGGACAGAAGATGGCCACAGTTACATCTACCAGCTGCTAAACAGGTGGGCTCAGATGGGAAATTCACACAAAAAGTTCAGGTACAAGATGAACTTTGGGAGGGTTACTATGGAAAATCTCTGCATGTTGCAAATGATCAAAAACCAGAACAAAACCACTTTGGCACTCAAAGATTTACCCTGAGTTTGACAGCCCTCAGTCTTTGTTTGACACAGCAGGGGACATAGGAATAAGATTAGCCATGTAGAACTTGGGCAGCTGGTGCTGTGATTTCAAAAAGTCTCTTGTAATTACTTATTTGGTTACCTTTAATTGAACTTGTGAATCTTGGATGTTACTGTTCCGCTTTCTAAAAAAATGACTTTCTAAAGCTTGTATGTTTAAAATTGCTTGTTTAATTATACAGTGGCCTTTCTAAAAGCATGTACCCTGCTGATGGGAAGGTGCTGAAGGAAACAGTTTATCCTCATTTACTCAGCTTTACTGGCATGAAGGAAAATAAGGTAAATTCATAAGGGTCTGAAAATTTGTCTGTTTGCAAAAACCTGAATAATCCCCAAAGAACATGTGAATTCATCAACAGATTTAATTGTTCTACAAAAACAAGGAATAATATTTATTCCTTCATGTTAAAATTGGTACTTACAAACTTGAGAAGGCTCGTAATGTATTTTGTCTGATTTTTGCCTATGTTTAGGCTTTTTTCCCAGTGGAAAAATGCCTTTATCTTCAACTGTAGATAGACTGGTTCTTGTTTATTTTCTCTAATTTTGGCAAAAAGAAAAATATTTTAAAAAAAGATGTGGTCTAAAGTATTTTTAGAAGCGTCTACTTTTCAAATCTGTAAAAATTAATAAAAATAAAATCTCCCAACAAATACAACCATGCCATAAAACCAAAATCAAAAAAGGCAACCCATGAGCAAAATGTGAGCAAGTTACTTCTTGTTTTATTAAGGAATATATGTATGTTTCAATGTAACTATACAAATACGTTTTGTATCCACCTGAAATGGAAGGAGTCTGAATCTGTGGCATTTTATCCAGAATACTGCTGGCTTGAGCCTTCAGAATCACATGCAGAACTTTGTTGCACTGTGAACAGACTGATGTACCCAGAATGCATAAAATGAGACACATATGACTCTCTTCAGATCCATGGCCTTGGATTGAAGAAGCCTCTGATGTTAAGAGGAAGATGGAAAAGTAGCTGATCTCTACACTTTTGTTTGAGAATTTATATTTAGTACAGCATGTCACACCAATTTCAAATTTGAAGTTACTGTGTAGACATGTATCTCAAATGGACACAGCTGTGTTGGAAACCTACATCTTCACTCTTAATGTTGTGTTTTGTATGATCACAAATAAGGAAACACAGATGATTTGAAAAGAAGAAATTTCATTATAATTAGGAAGCTGGGGATTGGGGGACAGGAAAGATATGTGGAACGCCTTCTTACTTGGGCAAAAAATGAACCAGAGCAAATAGAAAGGATAATTCTGTGTGCCTTTGGGGGTTGTTTTTTTTGTTTTGTTTTTGTTTTTGGGGTTTTTTTGTTTGGTTTTTTTTTTGTTTGTTTGTTTGGTTGTTTTTTTTAGTAATGCTGATTGCTAATGCTGTTGCAATTGTTGGAAGATGTGGATTTAATTCCTGCTTGAAATTGCTTTAGTTTGAGTTTTTGTGCAACAGCTCAAGCAGGTTGTTAAGTAGTTTCTGAAAATATGCAACAGAAACTTATTTTTATTTGTACCTGACTAGAAACATTGCTAAATATATACCTGTGTTTTGTTTTCTAGTGTTTTCTGTTGACAAATGTAGGCTTTTAGAAAGCATGCTTGTTGCATAATCCTGTGAAGCCTGACAGATTTAATTTTCAGTGGAAGGGAAATAGCATAAGCCATTCAGCTTTTCCCCAAATGCTGTGATCTAAAAATCAGATAGGATAACTGCTGAAGGATGCCAAAAGGTCAGAAAAGGTGAGGGAAAAGAAATAGCCAAAACACATGGCTTAGCAAATAATAGGGTTACGGTGGTGGTAGAAAACTCACATATGCTTCCCCCCAAATATATGCTTTTAAAAAAATAATGACTCTCTCTTCTAAAATATTTTTGCTTTAATACTTGCCTTACTGATTGAATCGTTTTTATAGCAGATTTGTGAGACAACCAAATCACCTGTATGATAATCTATTTTGAACTCCATTTTGAGACTATAAACAAACCATTTTACAGGACAGTTAATTATTTTGAAACTGGTTCTCAAACTTTGTCGTAAATAAGTATATCTAACATAAGAGGTAATTATAGAAAGTGATAAGCTGTCTCCTGAGCCTCCTTTTTTCTAGAGTAAACAATCCCAGCTCCCCCAGCTGCTCCCCATGAGAATTGTGCTCTACACCCTTCAGCAGCTTCATTGCTCTTTGGAAATGGTCCACCACCTCAAGACTGAATGATGGTGTTATGGGCTATTACCTGTGTAAAAGCATAATTCTTACCTTTCATTATTTGTAGTCATGCGAACTGTGATGACTTGCAAGCTTGACATGACTGAAGCTTTAGTGGATTTGTTTTGATGCAAAAATTATCAATATTTTACTGCATTGTTTTTTCAGCCTGATCTTGGTCCTTATGTTGGTGAATCTATAAACCCAGGGAGACCTCTAAGTCTACGTTTCCATTTGGGATGTGGGTTTAGCCAAGGATACTTGCAAAGCAGGGGTGATCCTTGAGAGGTTCATACCAGGCAGAGTAGACTTGGTCTGAGCAGGATTTAGTGGCAGATAAGGAAACAACTGTGGCTTGTTCTGTATTTTTACAGCTTTTGATGAAAAAAAAAAAAACCCTTCACATTTACAATTAATTATTGCATTATTTTATCTGTTTCCTTTCTGAGTATTGACTTACTGTTCCTTTTCACAGAGTCTTCCTTTTGTCATGGGCTTCATGAATGAAAGAAAGGAGCCTTTCTACAAGGTTCTTTTTTCTGGTGAAGCTTCAGGACGGATCACTTTGTGGCATGTTCCTGATGTTCCTGTGTCAACGTTTGATGGTTCTCCAAAAGGTTTGGCACTTCTGGCACCTTACTACCGTATTTTTCCTTATCTCTTGGAGTCAATTTTACTGAAAATCAAAATTCTCATAAAAACTTTTCATGCTGAAAAGTGGTGCTCATTTATTCATTGTGTGGTGATTGCTTGTAGTTAGGAGGAATAGCAACTGCTAACTGTCCAACCCTGGACTGCAGAAAGAATAAGTTAAGGGAAGTGATCAAGAGATGAAAAGGTGTGTTTTGTTTACTTTGACTTTTTATACTTTGTTTTGCATAAACAAAATACTGTCTTGCCCCACCTTCTAGAGATCCCAATTACAACCATGTGGACTCTTCAGGATAATTTTGATAAACATCATTCCATGTCAGAGGGCATTATTGATCAACTTTGTGGATCTGAAGATGGATTTGGAAGCACAGTTGTCAGTTCCTCTGTGTACATACCTGGTCTTGATAAGCTTGTATGTGGATGTGAAAATGGGAAAATTTTTGTGACATTAGGTTTAGAAACTGCAAGAGCAAGACTTTTAGAAAACATATCTTTTCTTGAAGGTAAGTTTTAACAATTAGTTCAGATTCATCTCGGTCAAACACAGAAGACTTCATAATTCTGGCATCACTTCTAGTGACCTTTGTAAAAATTCTCTGAAAAGTAGGGCTGGAATGAGATGAGGGAAATGGATGTTTATGATGATCTTTCCTTCCATAGCTGATCTATTGGATCACAGCTTAGTACTAACAAGGTGCTTTCCAGTAGTGGGAATCTGGGCATGGCTATGGGATTGGATAGCCCCTAGAAGTGAGATGTGTGGCATATCACTGTATAGGCAGTTTCCTATTTGATTTGCTCTCTAAAAGATCATTCCACTGAAGGGAACATAAAGGGTACATCTCAGTACTGAAGCTCAGAGTGCAGACCTTTGTTCTATCTTTTACAAACAGGTCCAAAATTCTTTGACACTATATAAAGGCTGGTTATATTTATCCTGACTTTCAGGAAATGTGCTGTAAAACATGAAACTCCTAGACTTAAACAGCGAAAATAATGTGTAATCTTGTTTCAGATAATCTACCTTATAAGGTTCTGAATGGTCACAGTAGCAGAGTCACTTGCTTACTTTATCCACATGACAAATCAGTAAGATTTGATCCCAGCTGGCTGTTATCAGGGGGCCAGGATTCTGTTGTGATCTGCTGGGATTTATTTACTGGAGGCATCCTACAGCAGTTTAATCTGCAGTCTGGTGCAGTGACAGAGCTCTTGCGATCCCCAGAACACTACAGAGTAAGTAAAAGCATAAAATATGTATATATTTATATACAAGAGAAAATAAAACATTATCTAGCTGTACTTTACCCACGCCACTTTATGCTTAATTTACCTTAATTTAATTGTTGTCTTTGAAAGTTGCTTTTAATTGCAGGGAGTTACGTTTTTGAGTTTGTAATATATTAAATTGAAGCTCTTAACATTCTATTCACCATTTTTATTATCATGATTATTAACTTATGTCAATCTGATTAACTCCTCCTGAAATTTAAAAAAAATTACTCAGTGAGGCTAGGAGCTTGAACATACTATTTTAATCTTCTCTATTGTTCCAAAAGATATATACTTTATTTTGGTTCCTGACACATCTTTTTGGTCCTTTGTGTGTATGTTTTTTGCATTTTATGATATTTAGAATAATTTAAAATTGTGTTCTAATTAATTAAATTCTAGAGTTAAGTTTAGGTGGAAATTTACTGAATGTTCGATGTAACTTTTGAACTATATATTCTGTGAAGCTGGGATTTCCATTTTTCCTCTTACAAAGCCTGCAAAGACAGATTTGATACTTATTAACGACTTGCAGTCCACTTACATGCCAAAATAAAATAGTAAAAAAAATTGTTTGCAATAATAAGTTTTTAACATTTGTAAGACTCCTTTTCATCTTTATTCTGAAAACTGAGTAGGATTTAATGCCTGCCTGGCTTGTGTTTGTCTTGTTTACAGAGCTGAATTGTTCTGTGGGGATATTCCTCTGTGTGTCACCAAAAATTACTTGCAGGAAGGGAAGGTTTTACAGTATCAGATCCATAGAGTGTGAAATGAATTTGTAACTTAGTTTTTTTGTTAGAAATACATTACTCTTGGCTTTTTAGACCTGATATAATTTTATATTACATGAACACCAGTTTGGTTTAAGGTAATTTTTTTACTACTTTCTCTTCTAGGACAACTGCTACTGTGTAGTTGGTTATATAATCACTGCTTTGGTATGCTAAATATTGTGAATAAATGGAATTAAAATTACTGTAGTTAAAATACTGGAAAAACAAAGATGAAGGTATGTTTTCCTGTCAGGAAATCAGTTGTGTAGTCAACACAAAATGAGTTGTATAGTCAACACTTGCTGAAAACAAGTTGAAGATGTTGGCTGACATAAAATATAATTTTCTAAAATGAGTACGTTCTGGGAAGGAAATCAGTGGAATACTCTTCGTAGGCCTGCTAAAATGATGTGCTTATGAATTACAGTGGTTACAGTGTTGAAAGTGGAGTTTTCTGTTTTGCAGTTAAGAGACCAGAGTATAGTGTGCTGTGTGTGCAGCGACCACTCAGTAGCAATTCTACACCTCCAGAAGAGAGAATGTCTCTTACATGCTAGAAAGCATCTGTTTCCTGTGAAGAAGATAAAATTTGACCCTCTTGAGAATGTGCTGATTGTTGGATGTGAAGACAATTCAGTTTACATTTGGGAAATTGAAACAGGTAATAACACAAAGGGGTCATCCTGTTTGTTTTGATGTTTTGGTCACTTTCCTGAATGTTTTTCTGTCACATGGTGTTATTTATAGAAGGCAAAAACATTAGTAGAAATGTGAACACATTGATTATGTGAATGGGAAAGTTTCAGTGTTTGTATAAGCAAGAAAAAAAAATTCTTACAGTTCAAGGTATGCCACTAGTAAAATAGAATGGCTTAAGTCCCATCCTGCTGATCAGGGGTTTAGCTGACATGGCAGTGAATTGAGTAGAATTCACCTGGGAGCTATAAGTAAAAATCAAACTTATTAAAAGGACTGATGATTTCAGTCTAAACTGTCCCAATTTGGAATACAAAATTATTATTTATTCCAAAAATTCATGATCTGAGATACTTTTATTTAATTGCTAGTCAGTTAACAGTAGAAGATAATTGCAAAGTTCATGACTGTGTAGACAGCAAAACTAGAGTGTTTTCAGGTTAAACTGTAAATTCCCAGGTGATTTGAGAATGCAATGCTGATTCATATGGGTAATAAATGTACTTATTTGAGCTTGGACAGACAGGACTATTAGGGGTTATAATGTTATTAGACACTAAGAATGTCCAGGCAATTCAGAGCTGTGTGTCCTGAGAGGAGGAAGATGCATTGAGTCCAGAGCTGCTGAAATTCACAGCATGATAAAACTGTATCAAAACCCAATTTTACTAACTGAGCCCTGAGACCACAATTTATTTTACAGGTTATTACAACACACTATCTACACTGTTTGCTTTAGACAAAACAGGAAAAATCAGAGTATATTTGACCTGTCCTTCCTTCACTCATAAAACCATTGCCTGTTTCAAGATTAAAGAGGAAATAAAATTGATACCACTGCTCATGCATATTACATATTCAGACAAGGGTACAGATGGCTAAAAGTGTGTTTTTTGTTATGAGTATCACAGAAGAATGAGTGCAACGGTCACCACCTCACCACAGGAAAAGATACTCTTATTTGCTCTACAGTAGCAATTAACAAATCTTTTTTGTTGGTGCTCCTGTTATGCATTGCTGACTAAAAGGTGCCATCTAGGGTCAATACCTGAGAAAGCCCAGTAGGATATACTGTAGTTGCTTTAATGTTGAATTACATCTGTATTGCAGCAGAACACAAGAGGTCATGGCGTTGATCCTTGAAATTGGCCTGACCTAGATCAAGAGCTATGTAGATACTTCAGTGGCACTCAGACAGACAAAGCATTGTTCAGATGTGTGACAGAGATGCCACAGCATCACTGAGGCACTTCTGCAGGAACACAGCACCTTTCATTAGGATTTCATCTGTTGGCAAATAAATGGGCAACCACACATAGTCCCACTTGCCTACACAGTTACCTCTGAACATATTCCCTAGCTCAGTTAAATAGGATAAAATCCGAGCAGTAGCCTCGTGCTTGAGTTCTGCTATAGGAAGGGACATAAGATAGCTTTTATTGCTTCTACAGTCAAATAGTGTTTATATGTCTTCTGGCTATGCAGTTAACTTCATGACTTGAGCTTTGCCTCTAAGTTAAAGTCAGTGGAGTATTGTGTCAGACTCATATATCACTGTTTGCAGTTTAAAAAATGCATCTGAACAGTGTTCCTGTGCTAAAGTAATGGATAGTTGGGAAAACAGCCAGTCTGTATAGAATTGCAGGCTGTGGATTAAGAAATTTCTATGAATATTTCAGTATTTACACTGTTGTAGAGTCAGCAATAGTTCTGTTGAATTTGACAGGTGACTTTAGAAAAGTTTAAGAGACTTAGCACCACTTTGAATGGTTCTAGAATGGTTCTTCCATCAGGTAATTAATAGGATGATCCCTAGAGCAGATGGAAGATTTCATTGTGCAGTTTCCTGTTGACAGAGGTTGACACACTTGTACAGAAAGCATTCCAAAGGACCTGAAAATGTTTGTTTCAAGATGCTTTCATAATTATCACTTTGAGGCTGAGGCAGAAGAAACTTTGTGTCCTAGGTTAAACTCTAAACTAGTGCTACTTTGTATACAACTTGTTGTACTCTCTTTTCATGAGATTTACAAAGATGACCTTATTTTACATGATCACTGGGAAGTTTCTGAGTACAATTGTCTACATATATTCTAAATAAATAGGCTTTCAGCATAGCTTATGCTGAAATGGTAAATACCAGGAGTATAGTTGACTTCAAGTGTAATTTAAGTATGTATCTCTTCCCCACTGACTAAAGACAAGTCTAAAAAAGGTGGGAGATAAAAAAGAGAAAGATAACTGCCTGTTGCTCTTACACGTCTAGAATTAGATAAATTTATTTATATCCTTAATTCCCTTGATTTACAGAGTAAAGTGAAATGATTCTAAGTTTAAATGTTGATATTGCACCTGCATGTGGGTAGTGATATAGAAAACAGCACAGAGGCCATGGAATAATATCTGTGTAATTTAATGTATTTTACCTAAATTTTAATATATGGATATGGTAACTTTCCATTACAGTGGAATATCTTTCCATGACAATGAATATTGATCTAATCATACATTTGGAATATTAATATGGTATGTGTACAGGATATTCTCCAAACTTGTGTGCTAGAAGACAAATATGAAAATCAATAACAAATTTTATTCTAATTAAAGTGCAGAATATTTCTTCCAATAACCACCACTTGAAAACCCCTTCAATAAGGAAATTAGCTGTTATCTGTATTGCTTTTAAATTTTCCTAACCAGTTGGTATCTTTGCTTTTTTAGAAAAGTAAATATCATTACAACAAAATACAGTAATAAAAGGATGAAAGGGTGGTTTTACTTGCTGTGTACAGCATATGGCAACATGTCTACCAAGCTGCCTTTAGATCCAATGTGTATTAAGAGTGAGGAATGAATGGGTGGGACTTAAATAGCAATATTCCTTGCTCAGAGTTAATAATCTTCATTTATCAGTGATAAATTGTTTTTCAATTAGTATGAGTTTAGAGTGCATTTATTCCTTGAATTCATCATACTTGCAGAATTAATAATTTACTGATTTCTTGTTACTTTATTTTGCCTTGCAAGCCTCTCTGTTTTATTAAGGATATGTTTAGTTTGAGTTTAAAGGTAGAATAACATCACTTAATAAAAGTTCAATTTATTGTTCAGCTCTCATCCTACATTTTTAGCTTTACACTGGCTGTGTTGTGGTTTTTTCATACTCCCCCAGGGAGTGCAAATTTTTAGAGCTTTCTTACATGTTACTAGCTCCGAAAAAAAATTGAAACATATGCTTAAAAATATTTTTATGAGGTCAGATCTCCTGAATAGTCAAAACTAACTCTGCTTACAATCCTTATTAGAAAAGGTCAAAACTCATCAATAAGTTATAGACAATAACCAAATATGCAGCATTTTGTTTTATCCACACTATTTGTGTATCACTTTACCTATTTGTGCTCTACCTGAATAATTTTCTGAATAAAATACTTTTCCTTGTATTTTGACATGTCTGTTATCACAGTATCTGAGTGCTTGGTAACAATGGTTCTGCCATTTTCTGACTAAGTGCAGAATTGTTACAGTTGTCTTGGCTTCTAACATCTGCATCTAAACAAACCAGAAATCCTAAGAATGACAGTTTTATATAGAATTATTCTGAGAACACTCTAGCTGGTATGTAATTTTAAACCCCTCATTTTTCAATGTATTGAGTGTACCAAAGATATACATAGAAGTACCTGCTACCTTAATTCAGAGGTTTTCTTTGCTATTTCTACTTGATTTTGCAAATGTAGTATCAGGGTGATACTGATGTATTTTATCTCAGGGTTTTTGGTAGAGGTAAGTCCGTTCACTGTAAGGAGACTCTTTGTCACCATGTGGAATGTTCTGCATGGACCTCTCGTCCTTGAGCAGGCAGGAAAAGCAGCAGTGCTTCAAGCAGTGCTGTCACTGAGGTGGGAGCAAGGCATTGGCTTGGAGGTTCAGTTCACAGAAGGTGAATGTTCAGCTTTGAGTCCATACTTTAAGGCATGAAGTTTTTCTGAAACACTTGTGTTTGATGACTTTAACAAGAATGATTAATGGCTTGAGACATTTCTGCTGAGAAAGAAAAAAAATCATACCACCTTAAGATAGCTGTCAATCATAGAATATTTTACCTCAAGCATTTAAAAGCTACACAGGTATCAATAAAATAAACCAGCCTTTTAATGAGTTTCTCAGACCTAATAAAATATGCAGTGTCTAACATTAGTCAAATCCATCTCTATGATCATAAAAAACCTTATGAAAAATAGAAGAGTTCAGAAATACTCTGAAAATAATTCTTGTTGTGTTTATGCCACATCGATAAACTTAAATGCTGCATAAAACCTCTGCTGTTTCAGAAGTGCACTTGCCATAGAGAAAATGAAATTATTCTGCAGATATGATGTTATGGATCAAGCCTTTGATCATATTGATGGTCAACCACGCTGGAAGGTTTTCAAACACTGTTTAAAGATAATTTTAAATAGTTATATATGCTGTAATATTTTTTATAATTGGTGCCAACAATGAGAATTATAAACCTGTAGTAAACAGCAAGTATCACATGAGCTGAAGAATATGAGGGGTGGGGTTTGGGTTGTTTGGTTGGCTTTTTTTTTTCTAAGTAGACCTTTATTTAATACATCATATAGTTTTTCCCATCCTAGAAATCGGGGATTAAACTGCTTAGAAAGTTAAAGCTTAGATTTCATGAGGTGGCTGTGATAAAATAAGTTGTAGAGTTTTAATGAATCTTAACTCAATCAGAGTAAATTTGGTCATTACTTAGATTTATGCCTAGATAATTGGAGAACCAAGAATAATTACTTTTTTGTGACTTTTTGTCCTTGTAAAATTTAGTGATTTAGAGTCTCTTTTGATATCTTTTTCATTTTCCCTGTCTCCCCATTTTTCTCTTTTTCTCTTCAGGTCATTGGTCAGAATTAGATCTGAGTGGGTGATTGTGGCCTCACTGATAAATCCTGTGGT